CCCCCACTGTTTCTTCGTTGTGTACGACAACCCCACAAACGCCGTATTTTTACTGTCCTCCAGGCCCGCACCCAGCAGAATAACGATCTCGTTCGGAACCTTATGAATCATCACCATCGCCACAAGCGTAAACGCGTGATTCACAAAGCCGTGCACATAATGATGCGTCCACATGTTCACCGGCCACACAGCGTATGACCCATACTCCGTGAACTTAAAGCCATTTTCGACCTTCTTTGCATTCCTCACAGTTGCATTCACGCAACGGTACGCGTCGTTCCAAGTTCCATCACCCGATGCATCCGACAAGAATCCAACCAGACCGGCCGTGGGCACCAACCAGTTGGAGAGGAAGGAGTCCAGTTTTGCCCAAGTCTCCAAGACGGACGTGATCGTCTTCAGCTCCTCCGTTAGGGAGGAAAAAATCAGGGCTGTGGTCGTTTCACTGAGTTCCTCCTGTAAAAGGTGCAACGCATCGTTAGAGTGCAGCAGAGCGTTGTCAGACGTCCACTTCTCTGTAGTGTCCATGGAAATGGGCCCGAGGTAAAACGTGCGGCTGTCGTCAGTGACCCAAAGGTAGAGCGCGGTGGCTTGCACCTTGGCCCCAGGGGGAATCCCTTTCTGAGTGTACAGCATAACCTTCTTTCCAGCAATGGTCGCAGTGGTGAGGGACCCCACTCCCTCAGCTGTTCGCAAAGAGTTTGGTAACAACATGGGCTGCACGCGTGTGAGTGTCCTGACAGAAGTCCACGTTGCCCCCATGTCTCTCGACTCGAACACCTTGGAGAGCGAATCGCATTTGGCAACCATGACAAGCTGCCCCTGCTCCCACTCGACGATGAGGGGCTCAGTGCACCCCACGGGGAGCATCCCAAGTGGAAGCACCCAATTTTTGCCGTCGTCCTTCGAATAAATGATCATGGAGACAGTGTCATTCTCTTTTGTCCTTCTCGCGGTCACAGGAAACACAAGCGTGTCATCCTCCATCACAACGCCTGAACCACCAGCACCAACAAACTGGTCCACGCCACGTTGTTTAGCAGATGGTTCGATCTGTGGCAAAAGCGAGGTGGGTTTGCCCCATTGGATGACTTTCTCTTGCGTGGCCTCACCCACGAGCAAATCAAGACCCTGTGAGACTTTAATCCACTTCTTCAACGAAGGATCATACTTCTCATAAGAGTCTCCCACCAGTAGAAAGACCTTGTTGCCCTTTGCAGTTGTTGTGGGTCGGACCGCGTATATTACATAGGACATATACTCCTCACGCATCGTCGTGTTAAAGATGCTGTACGCCCTCCATTCGTTTGCACTGACCTCAGCAACAAAAGACGACCAGTTCTCCGCAGGGTCAATGTACCCCGCCACAACATCAGCATAAACGATCGAAGTACGATATTTATCGGAGGATAGAGCTCTGGCCTGGGTCTTGGCAAGCGCAACCAAAACTCCACCAGCACTGACGAGAGAAGGTGAGACAAAGAAGACCCTCGTTCCACTTCCAGCACTTGTTTCCACAATCGTTCGATACGGCACAAAAAAATCAACAGCCTCTGGTGTTTGCGTTTCCTTTGGCGTACTTCTCTTCTCGGCATGCACAGCCGTACCGCCGCAGCACACCAACAGCGCGCAGAGAAGGAGCAGCACCGAATACAAAAACATGTGCCGGGACATGTTGAGCATGTGTTACTCTCACTCACTGTCTCCCTTCCCTCCTTGCGGTGGATCCGCTCAGGCCGCAACAATTGTGTGTGTGTGCGTTTGTGTGTGTGTGCGTTTGTGTGTGTGTGTGGTGCTGGTGGTGACTGCAGAGCCTTTCAATGTGCACAGCAGCAAGTAGTGTTTGGTCTCTTTCCTCCCGCGTGTGTGTGTTGAAAAGTAGTAAAGAAGAAAAAAGAAGAAAAAAAAAAGATCGATACAACGATGGGCACCGCCCGCACACACAGCAAGTCATCGCCATAATCGCCCCACAGTGCCCCCCGCCGCAGCTCACGCACAGCAAGACACAGGCAGAGAATAGGGCGAAGGGCCGAGAGCACAGCGACTACCGCCAGGAGCAGCAAATAAGAACAGCAACGACGGGGAACTGTAGCGTCGGCTGCGCACACGCCCCCGCAAGCACCACATGTAAGTCGCAGCCGTTTACTTTTTGCAGCCATTCCATGGGGCGCGCCGTGTTTTGCCAGTCGCATGCCAACGCCTGCCCACAAAAACAAGTAAAGAAGGAGGAGTCAAAGGCA